CTTGGTGTTGATTTTTCAGAGACATTTGCTCCAGTTGCAAGGTTGGACACTATAAGGCTGCTATTAGCCTTAGCAACTCAGCAAAGTTGGAAAATATACCAACTTGATGTCAAATCTGCCTTCTTGAATGGTTATCTTGAGGAGGAGATCTACATTGAACAACCTGATGGTTTTGTTGCCAAGGGACATGAAGGCAAAGTCTATCTACTCAAGAAGGCTTTGTATGGATTAAAACAAGCTCCCAGAGTGTGGAATTCCAGAATTGATGATCATTTACTGAAGTTAAGATTCAAGAAAAGCCTCAGTGAAGCAACATTGTACATTAAATTTTTAACAGTAATGATCTGTTGATTGTTTCTTTGTATGTTGATGATCTTCTGGTGACAGGTAGCAAATCAGCTCTTGTGGAAGATTTTAAGCTCCAAATGCAGGAAATTTTTGAGATGACAGACATGGGAGAAATGTCTTATTTTCTTGGAATGGAGATTCATCAAGATCAGCAAGGAATCTTCATTTGTCAAAGAAAATATGCAAATGAAATCCTGAATAAGTTTGGGATGGAAAATTGCAAACCAGTTAACACTCCTTTGGCTCAAAACGAGAAACTTGTTAAGGAAGATGGAGCTAACAAAGTTGATGGCTCTATTTATAGAAGCTTGGTTGGTTGCTTATTGTATTTGACAGCAACCAGGCCAGACATCATGTATGCTGCAAATTTACTCTCTAGGTTCATGCAAAATCCTAGTGAGTTGCATTTTAAGGCTGCAAAAAGAGTGTTGAGATATGTCAAAGGAACCAATGAACTTGGAATTTGGTTCAAGAAGAATGATAGTTCAAGATTGGTAGGATTCACAGACAGTGACTGGGCTGGCTCTCATGAAGACATGAAAAGTACTTCAGGCTATGTGTTTTTCATTGGATTAAATGTGTTCAGCTGGAATTCAAAGAAACAAGGAACAGTGGCTCAATCAACAGCAGAAGCAGAGTATATAGCTGCTGCAGCTGCTGTTAATCAAGCAATTTGGCTAAGGAAAATTCTGTTGGATTTGAGTCAAAAGCAAGATGATCCAACAGAAATTTTTTGTGATAATCAGTCAGCAGTTACAATGGTCAAGAACCCTGTGTTTCATGGAAGAACTAAGCATATTAAGATCAAGTATCACTTTATTAGAGAAGTTGAAGCTGAGAATGAAGTGAAACTGGTGCATTGCAAGTCAGAAGATCAGATTGCAGATATTCTAACCAAAGCCTTACCAAAGGCAAGGTTTGAAACATTAAGGAAAAGTCTTGGTGTTTCCAGCAGAAATACCAAGGAGGAGTGTTAGTGGTTGAAGCATGCTAGTACTGAAGCATGTTAGTGTGTTAGTGGTTGAAGCAAGTTAGTATGGCATTTCTGCTGGAACTTTCTGACAGCAGATTTGTCTAGGTAAAATGATGGGTTTGTGCATGGTGACCCATGCTGTTAGGCCAACAACTTTTGTATTTTTCAAGCCTATAAATTAATGAAATGAAGCTCATGATCAAATGAGCCAATTTACTTCAAGTAACAGATTAGTTTCTGCTGTCTTTGTTTGTTCTTGTTTTCTGCTCTAAATCCTTCAGGATTATATTGTTGTCTAAACAATATTTTAATTATAATATTGGATTGGAGAAAAAAAGAACAAAATTAATGGAAATCCAAATTAAGTTGATTGTTTTGCAAGTGTTTGATTTATAATATGGGAAAAGTTCCTCAGTTTTTCAATAAAAATTTTATATGAGTGATATCATGTTGATAATATGAATTTGTATAAATGAATTAGATGGATGAAAGAAAAGCAGTTCTAATTTCAAGGCCATGCTATATAGATTAGACATAGTTTTACCCTTACCACTTCAATGTCACTTAATTTTCTTGCTTTGTTGTCTTTGTTACATGCCTCAAACATATACAACAACTCAAGCAAACATTTTGGTATACATTGCTTTTGCATTGCAGGAAGTAGCTTTATATACATGGAGTATGTAGGACCAATCCTTGAAGTGATGCAGTGCTTTGGAGGTCCAATCTGTAAATACATAGATCATCACTGAAAACTTGAAGAAAATGTGAATGATCTTAAAGAAAAGTGAATGATCTGAATATTCGAAAGCAAGACCTAGAACTAAGAAAGGAAGCAGAGATTGATTGCAGAAAGGTGGTGAAGAAAGAAGTGGAGAAATGGTTTGAAGATGTTCAACGTATGAATATTGAAATGCAAATGATCGAAGAAAAGTTTCGTGTTGTGTCATACTTCTCACGTGCTCGCCTAGGAAAACTGGCTTGCCGTAAGATTGAAGAAGTAAAGGCAATGTACCAACAAGGTAGTTTCTTTGAAGGTGTGGCAATTGATGGGCCTCCAGCTGCCGGGGTGACGTTACCAACAACAAATGTAGAAGGTGAAATCGAAGTAAAAGAACTAATTTGGCATTATTTGTTGAGGTTGGAATGATTGGAGTATGTGGAATGGGTGGCATAGGGAAAACTACCATCATGAAACACATCAACAATCAGCTGTTGGAGGAGAACCGGTTTGAGAAATTGGTTTGGGTTACTGTATCAAAAGAACTTAATGTTGTTAAATTACAAGAAGATATTGCACGAGCAATGGATAAGTCTCTTCCTGAAAATGAAATAGAACGACCAACTGAATGGATAAAAATCTTGAAACGAAAGGGGCATGTGTTGACCTTAGAAGATGTTTGGAAACAATTTTCTCTACTCGATGTGGGAATTCCAGAGCCAACATTTCATAATGGTAGCAAACTGGTACTCACTCGCAGATCAATTGAGGTCTGCAAATCTATGGGGTGTCAGGTGGTCAAAGTGCAGCCCCTTTCAGGTGATGATTCTTTGAACTTATTCTTAAATAACATGGGGCGCCATCGCATTTTAGAAGATCCAACTTTACCAGACATTGTGAAACTTGTTGTTGAACAATGTGGTGGTTTACCACTTTCCATTGCGACAATAGCAGGTAGCATGAAGGGAGTTGATGATATTTTTGAGTGGAGGAATGCACTAAATGAATTACGCGAACGGGTCAAAAGTGTAAAAGGATTAGATACCAAGATATTTGAGTGTTTGATGTTCAGTTATGACCGTTTGGGAGATCCAAAATGTTGAGTTTGATGTTCAGTTATGACCGTTTGGAAGACTTTCAGGAATACACCAAGTCGATATTGGATCAAGGGCCTGACAACTTTTACTTCGATGACGGGTCCTGGTTTTATCAAAATCCTAAATTTAATAAAGAGGTGTGTTTTATCAACTGCAAGATGGGGAGAGAAGGTCTTGTAGTGCTCCCAAATGACTTTAATTATCTTAGTATTGAGGAATGCCATGATCTGAAAAGCTTAAGCAATATTTATTTGGTGCATGATGGAAATCAGTTGAAGACATGTCACATTAGGAACTGTGAAGGGATAGAATGTGTGATTGATCAGTCATTATCTCCATCCAACTCACTCCAGAACATTGAGAAGCTACAGCTTCAGGATTTGTGCAACTTGCGCGAACTTACTAGAATAGAACCAGCATTTGCCTCTGCATCTCACACTCCAACACCACCAGCCATATTCTCTTCTCTTAAAAGTTTTTATTTGAGAAACTCTTCGAGTATGAAGAAGTTGTGTTCACTTGAGCTGTTGCAGGCTCTTCAAAACTTAGAGGAAATTGATGTCAGCCTTTGTGAAAAAATGAAGAAAATAGTAGGATCAGAAGAGGAAGAAGAAAATGATATAGGTGAACTGTCATTGTTCATATTACCGGAGTTGAAAAGAATTTGTAGTTATTGAGTTATGATTCCTACAAATTCTCTTCGACATCTAGAGGTAATAGACTGTCCGAAGTTAAAAAGGATCCCTTTATCTCTTCCCTTACTTGAAAATGGACAACCATTTCCTCATCCTCATGTCAATCAAATCATTTTACATCCAAAAGAATGGTCGGAATCGGTGGAATGGGATGATCCTAATGTTAAGGATATACTTTCACCTTTTCTTCTGACTGAACATCTCTTCACATCAGGTAAATATACTTGTTTCTTGTTAAAACTACAAGATTTCAATTCTTAGCTTTCTTTTATTAAACCTATCAATTTGTATATTTGTATAAAACATGAAAATTTTCGTATCACAAACACTAAACACCTTTTTTGTTTTTGATAATCCCATATATGGTTTTACTAAAATATTAACCATGTCACTTTCGTATGTTTTTTCATATTGTTTTCGTGCATGTTTAAAATTTTGCCAAATTTATTTTTTTTTTATTAATATTTCCTTTTGTTTTTTGTTGAAAAATGTTTTTTCTGATTTTAGTTTTACCATTGACAGCAAAAATTCCAGTTCTTGATAGATTGCTTACCTAAACTACGAGATCAAATCAAAAGCCGAATTTACTTCTTGATCGTGAGCTTCTTTAGCTTTGTTATATTAATTATTGCTGGAGATTATAAGAGGAAAAAGGAGAATCAAGGCCAGAACGAAGATATGAAGCTTGCAGTAATCAAGTTAGGTACGATAGCTCAAGCTACTGATTTTTTTCCTTTAATAACAAGCTAGCTGAAGCAGGTTTTGGATCTGTTTATAAGGTAAAAGTTGCCGTATATTAGTGAACTGGTAGTACAGAAAATTCATCTTTATTATAAGAGCTCATTACAAATGTTGTAATTTTCTAGGGGACACTAGCAAATTGACAAGAAATTGCTGTGACGAGACTTTCAAAGAGTTCTGGACAGGGATTGAAAGAGTTTAAGAATGAAGTAATGTTGATTGTGAAACTTCAGCATCAGCATCTTGTAAGACTTCTTGAATGCTGCATTCAAGGAGAGGAGAGAATGCTGGTTTTTGAATACATGCCTAATAGAAGCCTTGACACATTCATTTTTGGTTTGAATCATTAAAAACCTTTCAATTTTACATTGTAAAAAAAAGTTCAATTTTGCTTCTTCAATTAGCAAATAAGATGCAGGATTAGCATGAATGCATACTTGGCAGATCAAACAAGACGCCAAGTACTAAATTGGTCCAGGCGTTTCCAAATTATCTGTGGGATTGCTAGGGGACTACTCTATCTTCATCTAGATTTCAGATTGAGCAGTATTCATAGAGATCAAAAAGCTAGTAATGTTCTGCTTGATAGCAAGATGAACTCGGAAATTTCAGATTTTGGCACGGCAAGAACTTTTGGAGGAGACCAGACTGAAGCCAATACAAACAGAGTGTTTGGAACTTTGTAAGTGTTTACGCAACATAATTTGATACAAATCCCCATAGAAATGCATATTTTTCTGAGACTGTTGTGCAATGGTTATATGGCAACAGAATATGCTATTGATGGTCTGTTTTCAGTTAAATCATATGTTTGCAGCTTTGGTATACTATTGTTGGAGATAATAAGTGGAAGAAGAACTAGAGAGTTTTATCATCCAAATCACAGCGGAAACCTTATTGAACAAGTAAGCGTTGACAGTTTTGTTACTTATCTTGAACTAATAAATGCTAAAAGGGTTTCATTTTGCTGCAGGCATGGAGTTTATGGAAAGAAGGTGGGCCATTGGATCTTGATGATGATTTCTTAGTAGATATTAGCATGAATGCATACTTGGCAGATCAAACAAGACGCCAAGTATTAAATTGGTCCAAGCGTTTCCAAATTATCTGTGGGATTGCTAGGGGACTACTCTATCTTCATCTAGATTCCAGATTGAGCAGTATTCATAGAGATCGAAAAGCTAGTAATGTTCTGCTTGATAGCAAGATGAACTCGGAAATTTCAGATTTTGGCACGGCAAGAACTTTTGGAGGAGACCAGACTGAAGCCAATACAAACAGAGTGGTTGGAACTTAGTAAGTGTTTATGCAACATAATTTGATATAAATCCCCATAGAAATGCATATTTTTGAGACTGTCGTGCAATGGTTATGTGGCACCAGAATATGCTATTGATGGGCTGTTTTCAGTTAAATCATATGTTGCAGCTTTGGTATACTATTGTTGGAGATAATAAGTGGAAGAAGAACTAGAAGGTTTTGTCATCCAAATCACAGCGGAAACCTTATTGAACAAGTAAGCGTCGACAGTTTTGTTACTTATCTTGAACTAATAAATGCTAAAAGGATTTCATTTTGCCGCAGGCATGGAGTTTATGGGCAGAAGGTGGGCCATTGGATCTTGATGATGATTTCTTAGTAGATATTGGCAATCTATCTGAGGTATTTCAATGCATTGACATTAGCCTTTTACGTGTACAGCAGCATCCTGAGGATAGACCAAGCATGTCATCTTAGGTTCTGATGTTGGGAAGTGAAAATGAATTGCCTCTGCCTAAACAATCTGGTCTTTTGTTTTACAAGAAATCCTTTGAAGCAAATTCTTCATCCCTTAACGATGGATCATCTTTGACAAACAAAATAAGTGTATCACTGTTAGATGCTCCATAGATGGTTGTATGCTTCATTACATCTGTATCTCCAAACTATCAGTGATGATTTCAGTCCCACTTGAGGCTTGGGGCATGTGTTTTTTGTGCAAATGCCTGCTGGAGAGACTTTCAGAAATCAAAACTCAATGAAGTATAAAATAGTAGTGTTCTGTTTATTACATGGATAGATATATAGATTGAAGGATTAAAGTGTATCTTCGTATAATTAAAATTTATGAATTCAATCCACGCAATCTCATCATTATTATAAAAGCTTCTTATACAAAATGCGCAACCAGCTGGGAAGTTGACATATGAATGAAGTACCGTGAACCTTAGAAATTTATAATTTTTTGCTTAAATCCAATAATTAGTTTAAGTTGGCTAAGTATAGCTGACAGATAAATCTTGGAACTGATGACCTGGTTTGATTTGGATACAGAAACGAAATTTATTAAACCAGAAACCTGGAAAAATTAATTGCGAACCACCATCCTAGCTAATTGAAGAACTTTCTCTAGTTTTTTAGATAAGGAAGAAGTAGCAGGTGAAGGATTTGAATCTCAAACTTACTAAATGCTATCTTTTAAAGATAACTGTACGAACGAGTTGAGTTAAGCCTGACTCAAACTTTCTTGAGCTTTACATGCAGATTAATACATGTACAAAAATACCTTGTTGAATTGAGAGAAAGAAGGAAATATTAATAAAACAAAGTTGGGAATTTTATCTTATTTTAGTTTTCTTTCGAGGACTTGCATTGTTTTTCAATGATTCATTCTCTTCTGATCAATGAGGATTCAGCAAGAAGAGAGCAAGATCTGAATTTGCTGTTTCATTTGACATTTTAATATTTGGGTTAATGTTCTTTATTAAATAGCTTGTTTTAATTTGAGCACAGTACTTCATAGTCATGCAAACGCAACAAAAATAATGCATGATCTCTGACTGGACTTGAACTGAAATCACTGATGACATTAACCATGAACCGTGATGCTGGTCCCATGGCAGGGTCCGTTCCCTAAAACCATGAATGTTGATTAATGCCATAAATGTACCATCAAAATTTCACAGTATATTGATTCATTTTGTTGAAACAGTTAGGTAAGATTCTTAAAAATGTTGCAGATCTACATTTTACAATGAGCTGAGCATCCAGTGAATACTTCAAACCTGGGAAAGATATCAATCCAAACCTCTAAAATCTTCTGGTAAATAGTTTTTAGTTGTTTTAAACCTCCAATAAATATATTAGCGAAATCCAGTACATATTATTTAGTAAAGACCAACCATGATAAACATCTTGGTCTGATATTGTTAAGAACTTCATATGCCTAAAACATGAGAAAAGAAGTGAGAATGTAATCAAAGTTAAAGTACCCAAAGTAGATTAGATCACACTCCAGGAAACAATCCCATTCATAGTATAGTCTAAACACAACTGGTGCTGAAAATTGAGTGCTTGAATAGGGGGTGTAAACAAACCGTTCGTGAATAGATTCATTTTTTCATTTATATTCATTTATTAACAAACGATAATGAAATATATTTCAAGGTTAGTTAATTAAAAGTATATCACGAATTAAGAAAAATTTATTTATGTTTGGTTTATTTACATTTAGGGTATAAACAAATAGAATTTTTGATAAATAATTGGTGAAAAAGCTTGGTTTTCTTTTTTTTATTTATGTTTATTTATTAAACTTAATAATAATCACCAATAATATTTCAAAATTTTTTAATTAAACGAACAGATCACGAATATAATAAAATTTATTCATATTTGATTCATTTACACCTATATACTTAAATATAAAAAAAAAAATGTTGCGCATATTTTCTAGGCCTTCTATAGAACTTAGGAATTGCTTAAGACTTAGTCTTCAAAATCTATCATGTACAACTAAATTTTCTGTGCCAAAGTAGTAATATTTTAGTGACAGATCAAGAAATTTCAGTTCCAACAGTTTTATGATAGAAAAATGACAGAATTATCATGTTAATGTGAAAGGCATAACATTGTCCACTTAAAAAACTTGAGGTTTTATTGCACTTCACCAATTTGCGTCCTTGAATGTGAACATATGGACTTTTATCACTTCAAAAATTGCATGAACAGGAGTTACAGGACTGAATGTGATTGCAAATGCTATAATTTGATATGGATGCTGACCATTTCCAGGCTGAACATTCAAATTTTCACCTATAATGAATGCAAAGAAAAATAATAATACTAAAGGTGAGCTGCAGCTTTCATTCCTTATCCTGGAATTGGATTCCAGGACTTGTTCAAGCCTCCCCATTCTTTAGATATCATTCCTGATATAACCACACAAAGACAAGTTGACGGTCCAAACAAGTGGCTGATAACAGGAAAGTGCTGGTCAGCTTTAGAACTTCCTGAGGCATCCAGCAATATGCAATTGTTTGTTGCCACCACAGGTCAACTTCTGCCTTTTATCTGTCTTTGTCTTAATTGTATAGGTAATATCAATTTATAGTTAAGCAAGGGAGAAAGTTTGTCAATTTTTTATATATTTTTGTACAAAAGATGTCAAGAAAAAATAAAAAAATTATAAATGTTAGGATTTGAATCTAAAACTTGCTGATGTAAGAGTTATTGCATAAACCGGTTCAGTTCTGGATTCAAATTTTTTTAACTTTGTAAACAAGCCAACAAGGTGAAAAAAAAAAGATTGAAACATTATGGAAGAGTGACAGGGTAAGGGATCCTTGAAGCAAAAGCCAATTTTCCATTCCTGGGTTGGACTTTTAACTCTTGGTGGGAAAAATTTTGAGGGATGATGATTTCTGATAGGGAGGTTCCTGTCAGTTCAAGGGAGAAAACTCCATGCTTTCTTCTCAGTATTTATGAAGTTTGTGATTGTTTTTGGACACCATAAAAGAACCAGGAAAAAATGTGACAGATCATCATAAAAAGTCATGTACAAAAATCAAATTTCTGCTTTCAAAAGTCTGGATGAATCAACAACTGTAGCATCAAGTGGATGATAGGCAGTTGGATTTTGTTGACCGAAAAAGGTGACTTGGCTTCTCAATGGTGTTAAACTATGATGTGGATTTCATATCAAGCACAAAAGCTATAACCTTTTGTGAAAAGTACTTTTTTTTTTTTTAATTTTGCAATGTCCTTTGAACTCAGCAATTAAGCTTTCAAATGGGAAATTGCTTTAGAGCTTTTCATATCTATGGATTCAAATTCAACCTATGGGTATCAAAATTTTTCTCAAGCAACCCAAAATGATTAATGCTTTATTTGAATAGTTGATGAAAACAAATTCAACCTTAAAGCTATGTAATATTATAATAAAAAGAAATTTTCTCGTCGACCATTCAAATGAAATTTAAAATATTATTTACACTAATAAATCAAAGAAATTTAAAATTAAATATAATACTATTTTGATAAATTTATTTATTTATTTATTGTTATTAGATTTTTTTCATAAATAAAATCTCGAACCATGTAAAAATTATTATGACACCTCAATTAGGTTACAAATTAATCATTATAATGATATACATCAATATATTAATAGAATATTAAATTTTTAATTTTATAATAATTTAATTTTTTATAATTTTAATTATCAAGAATAAATTTATCAATAAATAAAATTTTTAATTTATTATTAATTTAATAATATTGAAATCAACTTCAAAATTGAAGGCTTCAAGTTGACTATAACAAAAAAAAAAAAAAAGAAAAAAAACTAAAAAAAAGTTTATTTCCATTAGGGAATAGGGGTAAATTTGTGAATTCAAATCCCAATTTGTTTGGATCAGCATGCAGCGTAGGAGGCGTCATCCCTTATTGACGCAGCCATTATTTCGATTCGCAAATTCAGATTGCCAGTTTATTGGACCCCAAATTCCATTAATACTTTTAAAAATTAAAATATCCAAAATATAAATAAACAAATCAAAATCGAACGGCCTTGATTTTACTTTATTCCTTTCGCCTTCGCCATTTTCACCACGTGACGTCCAGGATTTGTCCACATGCTTTAGAACACCTTCTCTTTGTCCCCCACATACTTAAAACATAATTATTTTTTAAATTCTTTATTGCTAAATCTTAAGCATCTATCTTTTAATTATGAAATTGACTACCATTTCTTCTTTTTTTTTTAAGAAAACAAAAGTTTATATAACTAAAAAAACTATTAATTTTATTTATACAAGTTACTTCAAATGATAATAAATAATTTTTCATTGATTTTTATAAAAATAATTTTAAAAATTAAATTTTAAATGGATTATATGAATGTGAATGAATACATTATTAAAATCCTTTGGGAAAAAGATAAGATTAAAACAAAATTTAAAAATGTTTTGATCAGATTATGAAAAAAAATAAATTTTTAATAAATATTATCAAATAATTAATCATAAAATTCGATGTTAATATTATAAATTTGACCACTTATTATATAAATAAAACTAGGCATAACAACACTCTTCATTTTCTATATCAATTCTATAATCAAATAATTTTATTTTGGTAAGAATATTACGAGGTAATTTTTTTTCCATCTTTGGGAAACAGTTATTATTTTTTTTCCTAAGCTTTAGTTAAGAAAATAACTATATATAAAATTTTATTAACAAAATTAAAAGATTTTCATATATTTGACATATAATTAAAAATTAATTAATTTTATTTATAAAATATAAAAACTCAACCGATATATGAAATAATAATGATATATTATGTTTTATATTTACATTTTTTACTCCTAATTGAAAACAAACAAATTCACATATTAACTAACATCATAGAATTACTTACTATAAAACATATCAAAACCCATCAACTATAATAAAAAAATTGGATACACCTAA